GTTCAAAAATCGTATTGGAAACCCTTTTTTTCCCTACAGCTTGTTTCTATTTTGTTGACACATAACACATAGTAACAACAGATGTCAGTTACAATTGTTTTTTATTCATTGCATATCATCTATGTTTTCTAATTAGGAAAATGTTTTAATGATCAAGATTTGCTGTTCATCTGTGACAAACTGGATAACGAATCATGGAGGAGACTGGGTGTGCGTCTTGGACTTAAGTGGACCGATATAAAAAAGATAGCAAAAAACAACAGACTGGTTGAAGACCGCATCATGGAATTGCTGGTTACTTGGAGGGATGACCAATCTAAGAGCCAACAAGTACCAATCATGGTGAACGCTTTGAGACAACAGAAGCTTGTTGAACTTGCACAAAGTGTGTGTGAAAGGCATGGATACAGTGACGAGTCAGAGATTGCATCAACTCAGATAAATCTGCCTCAAATTTCAACACCAGTGAAAGGTTAGTAAAAATCTAATAAAAGTACTGATTCTCCAAATTTATTTGCCTACCATTTTTGCACTTGCTGAGGAACATTGCTTGCACGATTCTGATGCATCTTGCTTTATGCTCTTTTATACAAAGAGAAACATTTCAAAATTATTTTCCTCTAGACCTTAGGTCACTTTGTAAACTTGCATGATCATTGGACCTCTCAAATTGATTTAATCTACAAACTTGGCACCTGTTATAATGTAATTCAGAACTCCTGGTACACTCAATGCTTCCTAAATTCTTGTGAGGAATAAACTTGTAATTCGGGTGGAATCAAACCAACGAACTCCTTGTACCAAAACCACTGTAAGCACTGGACCACTAGACTGCTGATCTTTTACTTAGCATCTGTATGATTTTTAATTAGGAAACTATTTTGATGATCAAGATTTGCTGTTCATCTGCGACAATCTGGAATCTGGATCATGGAGGAGACTAGGAGTGCGTCTTGGACTCAAGTGGAGCAGTATTAATAAAATAGGAGATAACAAAAAACAGGTGGAAAACTGCATCATGGAAGTGCTGGTTACTTGGAGGGATAACCAATCTAAGAGCCAACAAGTACCTATCATGGTGAACGCTTTGAGACAACAAAAGCTTGTTGGACTTGCACAACGTATATGTGAAAAGCATGGTTACAGTGACGAGTCAGAAGTTGCACCAACTCAGATAAATCTGCCGCAAATTCCAACGCAAGGGCAAGGTTAGTGAAAATCTGTTGCCGTTTTGCACTTGCTGAGAAACATTACATCCCTTCCATCACGTTATGTGGTCCAGTGGCTCTGCCAGTGGGGGACATT